CATTGATGGAGGTGGGGAGGGAAGGCTCATTGATGGAGGTGGGAGGGAAGGCTCATTGATGGAGATGGTCTCACTGATGGAGGTGGGGAGGGAAGGCTCATTGATGAAGGTGGGGAGGAGGGAAGGCTCATTGATGGAGGTGGGGAGGGACGGCTCATTGATGGAGATGGAGGGGGGGTCTCACTGATGAAGGTGGGGAGGGAAGGCTCATTGATGGAGGTGGGGGGAGGGAAGGCTCATTGATGGAGGTGGGGGGAGGGAAGGCTCATTGATGGAGGTGGGGGGAGGGAAGGCTCATTGATGGAGGTGGGGAGGGAAGGCTCATTGATGGAGATGGAGGGGGGGGTCTCACTGATGGAGGTGGGGAGGGAAGGCTCATTGATGGAGATGGAGGGAGGGAAGGCTCATTGATGGAGGTGGGGGAGGGAAGGCTCATTGATGGAGGTGGGGAGGGAAGGCTCATTGATGGAGATGGTCTCACTGATGGAGGTGGGGAGGGAAGGCTCATTGATGAAGGTGGGGAGGAGGGAAGGCTCATTGATGGAGGTGGGGGAGGGACGGCTCATTGATGGAGATGGAGGGGGGGGTCTCACTGATGGAGGTGGGGAGGGAAGGCTCATTGATGGAGGTGGGAAGGGAAGGCTCATTGATGGAGGTGAGGAGAGACGGCTCATTGATGGAGATGGAGGGGGTCTCACTGATGGAGGTGGGGAGGGAGGGAAGGCTCATTGATGGAGGTGGGGGGAGGGAAGGCTCACTGATGGAGGTGGGGAGGAAAGGCTCATTGCTGGAGGTGGGGGGGAGGGAAGGCTCATTGATGGAGGGAGGGGTCTTACTGATGGAGGTGGGGAGGGAAGGCACATTGATGGAGGTGGGGGCTCATTGATGGAGGTGGGGGGAGGGGTGTGTAGCCTCAGCCATGTATAAGCCGCCTCCTCCAGTTACCTCCATTGTGGCGGTGCCATGTGCCGTGGTGCAGTACAGGGCGGTAGAACGTCGGCCCGATACATTGTTAAAGGGGAACAACAAGGAACAGGGGGGGAGGAGGCGGTGGGGGGGTCCTGGTTGAAAGTACTTCTGTCTTTTTATTCTCAGCTGCAGAGGAGGTGGGGGAGGTAAGTACACGGTCCACATGGAGTCCAGACTTCTCCTTTCATAGTGTGGGGGAGGGGAATGGGTGATCACATGGAGTCTCGCCACGTCCTTCCACTTCCTCCTCGGCTGGAAAGTCCCGTCACGTCTGATCTGTCCTGGAGGAAGTGCCGGGGGAGCAGTGAGAGCCATCTACGGGGACACCACCGTCACTGTGTGCCACAGGGACTCGCAGACGGGCAGTCCCAGTCTGGACTCCATCCACAATTCTGTGTAGGGGGGGGGGGGTCAAACACGGACCAGGACAAGGACCGTTACATGAGCGGGGGGGGGGGGAGACAGACTGGGGCTCCCACTACCCACCCCTCTCTGAAAATGCTAATGATCTGGCTGCCCAATGGTCTCCATCCCTCCTGATTCTCTGACTGCCGCCGAGATGAAGGTATCAGACTTCACTGTCCGCATGCTTGCTGCCATTCTTAGCCCCCCTAAGCTCGGAGTCTCAGGCAGCCAGGAAAGCAGCATTCTCAGGTGTTCTTTAAGAGTGACCGGAACTGGCGCTGGGAGGGAACCGCGACTACGGAGATCCTAGGAGGGTGTGTGCGGCACGGGGGTCAAATCGGAGGTCCTCCAGCTGCTGCCAAACTACAAGTCCCATGAGGCATTGCAAGATTGAGTTAGAAGCATGAGGCGGAGGCATGATGGGACTTATAGTTTCACAAGAGCTTGAGGGCCGCCAGTTTGACACCCCTGATTTGGCGCCCCCTTCTGTTCGGTTTTAACCTCCCCTTCACCCACCTAGCCGACCCCGCCACACTTTGCTTTTTTTTTTAGACCTCGAACTCACATTCCAACTCCACCATCATTGCCATGGACTACCCTAAGCCCACTGCCGGTAGTCCCTTCCTCCATGTGTTCCAGCTGCCATCACCCCAGATGGATCCATCATATTCCCGAAAGTCGATTTCACCGCCAACTACCACACACAAAGCTTGGCCCTCAAAAACAAATTCCTCCAAAAAGGGAAGTCCTCCTGAGCCCGTAGAAGGAGCCCATTCCCAGGATCTGACCGAGTCTCTACAACCCCCGAAACCACCATCAGGTTCGTGACACAATGCCACTCCGCCTACAAGGTGGCCCATCCTATCCCGAGGTCCACACCTTGCAACCCACCTCTGCCCAAAATTAACCTACAGGAAAGCACCCAGTGATGGCACGCCCCCACCCCGGCTAAATCCCCACGAAAACCAGTGAAGACCACCTCCAGAGAGCTCCACCTCATCCCAACCACAGGGATGTTCCGTTGCCAACAAAACCTTCCGTCTCACAGCCATAAAAAAATAAATTTGTACCAATGGCAAGACTTATAATTGCTCCTCCACTTGTGTGGTTTAAGGCCTCTCATGCCCCTGTGGCCTACTCTACGTAGGCTGCACAATGAGAACCCTCAGAAAAAGATTCGGTGAACACCATCACCTAGTCCAGGAAGGCAACTTGTGTGGTTTAGAGCCTCTCATGCCCCTGTGGCCTACTCTACGTAGGTTGCACAACCTGAACCCTCAGAAATAGATTCGGTGAACACCATCGTCTAGTCCAGGAAGGCAACTTGTGTGGTTTATGGCCTCTCATTCCTCTGTGGCCTACTCTACGTAGGTTGCACAACCTGAACCCTCAGAAAAAGATTCGGTGAACACCATCACCTAGTCCAGGAAGGCAACTTGTGTGGTTTAGGGCCTCTCATGCCCCTGTGGCCTACTCTACATAAGCTGCACAATGAGAACCCTCAGAAAAAGATTCGGTGAACACCGTCGTCTAGTCCAGGAAGGCAACTTGTGTGGTTTATGGCCTCTCATTCCTCTGTGGCCTACTCTACGTAGTCCGCACAACCTGAACCCTCAGAAATAGATTCGGTGAACACCATCACCTAGTCCAGGAAGGCAACTTGTGTGGTTTATGGCCTCTCATGCCCTCTGTGGCCTACTCTACGTAGTCCGCACAACCAGAACCCTCAGAAATAGATTCGGTGAACACCATCACCTAGTCCAGGAAGGCAACTTGTGTGGTTTATGGCCTCTCATGCCCTGTGGCCTACTCTACGTAGTCCGCACAACCAGAACCCTCAGAAAAAGATTCGGTGAACACCATCGCCTAGTCCAGGAAGGCAACTTGTGTGGTTTATGGCCTCTCATGCCCCTGTTGCCTACTCTACGTAGTCCGCACAACCAGAACCCTCAGAAAAGATTCGGTGAAACACAGTCGTCTAGTCCAGGAAGACAACTTGTGTGGTTTATGGCTTCTCATGCCCCTGTGGCCTACTCTACGTAGTCTGCACAACCAGAACCCTCAGAAAAAGATTTGGTGAACACTGTCATCTAGTCCAGGACGGCAACCCAAAACACAGCGTCCTGAGAACACTTCTCCGAATCCACCAAAAACCCATCCAAGACCTTCAAGTTTTGGATCATTGGTTCCATGCCCGACACTACCACCCCAGCCGAACGTTTATGCCAACAGGAAACTTTTTGGATTTATACCCTCAAGACAATGGCCCCAGGAGGACTAAACTAAGAAATAGAGGTCCACACCGTTTTGTGAACTTCTCCACCATGTTTTATTCCGAGACTTGCCCTCACATTTCTGATATATAGTCAGAATGGGGAAAGGAATGAGAACCTGCTGAGAAATGGAGGGTCATCTCCATTTCTCAGCAGGTTCCCATCCCATTCCCCATTTTTGGCCCCTCATAGGGTAACCTATATCCACTTTCATCATATGGTCTCCCCAGGCAGAATACATACATATGGGCTCCTTGGTGCTTCTTTGTCCTCTACAGCCAATCTGGTCAGAAGAAGCAAGCGCTTCGAAACGCGTCACCTGACTTCACCTCACTCTGCCATTGGTCACCCGTGGTCCACACTGGTAAACGGCACCATTTTCAAACCTCCTGCACCGCTGACGGCTCCATCCCGAACGACCAGGACCCACAACCCCAACGCCGGCTGACAAGCGGCTCACCGGAGGATGACTTTTAACTCCTTAAAAGTCGTTTTTACATCCTTTGATACCAATATCTACACTCAGATTGGGGCCCCCTTCTGTTCGGTTCAGGTTTTCTTTAATGACACCCCCCCCCCCCCCCCCCCCCAATACCCATCGAGATCTGTCTGTGATCATGTCAGAGGAGAGCAGGAGAGGTGACCCTATGGGGCCGTATCAATGACACCACCAAGGACAAGGTCCTCCCCCGAGGTACCATACCATCCAATCAGATCCTCCTCTGCAGAGCTACAATGAAAGTGGCCGTAGACGTGATGATTGTTGTCCAATCCTAAGAGCCGGAGCAGGCAGCAGCCTCAGTCCCGGGGACTGTAAGGATCCCCTGAAATATTCCAGCCCCGGATTGCCTACCACCCTCCCACCACCTCCAGGGCATGTAATCATGTGACCCCTTTCTTCCTGGAGTTGGAAGGCCTCAGCCTGGAGCCCCTCCACAATGTCCTCAGGTGTCCAATTCCAGGGGGTGGGGCTATGTAGGAGGACAGTTTTCTGATTGGGCAGTGACACATACATTGGTTACACTCCCCCCCCCCCCCTGTAGTCCATGTGCTACGCTCTGGTGTACCCCTCCCCCCAGTAGAAAAGGCCATAGACTCACTCTTTGAAGAATTTATTGCAGATTAAAGTCCGAGAGAGAAAACATTCATTTCACTGTCATGGGACCTCCGGGGGGGAGCCGTCCATGTTCATGGGACCTCCGGGGTGGAGCCGTCCATGTTCATGGGACCTCTGGGGGGGACCTCCTGGGGGGGAGCCGTCCATGTTCATCCAGCCGTCCATGTTCATTGAGCTGTCCATGTCATGGCTCCGGGGGGACCATCCAATTGCAAGGGACAGCAAGGACGGGTTCTTCACTTTCCGGTCAGTCTGAGGACGTTGGACACCATGGATCCAATCCCATCAAATATCGTGTGCAGAGGAGCCTGACCCATGAAGGCCGGAGTGGTGACCACTTTGTGTGACTTGTCCACGTGGACTTCGTGGGAGGGAGGAGGGTTAAGGGAAGGAAAACGATTGATGGACATAAATGTGACCCCACACCAAGGACAAAGTCAACCCCTTATCTAGGACAAGGGTGACCCCTACATCTCCAAGGACAAAGCTCACTATACACACCCAGGACAGGGATGTCCCCACAGCCAGAACAAAGCTGACCCTTCAGCATGGACGACCTCCAACCTCAGGGACAAAGCTGACCCTTCAGCATGGACAACCTCCAACCTCAGGGATAAAGCTGACCTTTCAGCATGGATGACCTCCAACCTCAGGGACAAAGCTGACCCTTCAGCATGGACGACCTCCAACCTCAGGGATAAACAACCTTTCAGCTGGACCTTCAGCATGGACGACCTTCCATGGACGAACCTCAGGGACAAAGCTGATCCTTCAGCATGGACGACCTCCAACCTCAGGGACAAAGCTGATCCTTCAGCATGGATGACCTCCAACCTCAGGGACAAAGCTGACCCTTCAGCATGGATGATCTCCAACCTTCGGGATAAAGCTGACCCTATACACCTGGAGAAAAAGGTGACATCACAGAACAGGGACAGGGGGACCCCATACCTGGGACTGACATGGAACGGCCCGTCCCTTCATTACACAGGTAGGTTCTGCTTCCTTCCTCGCAGTGCTGTGCTCTTCCTCTCTCCAGTGCTCAGAGGGACAGACAAGAAGACTTCTCATCAGTTACCCTGTAGAACCTGAGGGAAGATTTCCTTCTCCTGGAGCAACCTCAGCAGATGAACATTCCAAGAACACCAAATGGGACTCGCTGCAGCTCAGATCTTAGTGCGCCCCCCCCATTGGCTGCTGCCCGCAATTACAACAATCTCACTGTGTGTGACCTCACTATAACCACAGCTGGGACGGGGAGCAGAGATCTCCATCACCCCCAGCTTCCTGGGCTCTGGGAACCTTCTACACCCCTCTCCATATCTATGGATGAGGCCCATACACAGGAGGACCCGTACACCTCCCTCACCACCCCTCCATCTATGGATGAGGCCCATACACAGGAGGACCCGTACACCTCCCCCACCACCCCTTCATCTATGGATGAGGCCCATACACAGGAGGACATGTACACCTCCCTCACCACCCCTCCATCTATGGATGAGGCCCATACACAGGAGGACATGTACACCTCCCCCACCACCCCTCCATCTATGGATGAGGCCCATACACAGGAGGACCCGTAGACCTCCCTCACCACCCCTCCATCTATGGATGAGGCCCATACACAGGAGGACCCGTAGACCTCCCTCACCCCCCTCCATCTATGGATGAGGCCCATACACAGGAGGACCCGTAGACCTCCCCCACCACCCCTCCATCTATGGATGAGGCCCATACACAGGAGGACCGTAGACCTCCCCACCACCCCTCCATCTATGGATGAGGCCCATACACAGAAGGACCCGTACACCTCCCCCACCACCCCTCCATCTATGGATGAGGCCCATACACAGAAGGACCCGTACACCTCCCCCACCACCCCTTCATCTATGGATGAGGCCCATACACAGAAGGATATGTGAACCTCCTTGGCGCTGTGCTTTCCTCCCATGGCTTGGATGGCTTTCGTGGTCCCACAATACGGCCATTTCCCTCCCTGTTCTTCCTCCTGTCCCACCGTCACCTCCACACCGGGGATCACCTTCGCGGCCAGGACGGGAGCGATACAGCACAGCCTGGGGGGGGGGAGAGAGAGAGGAGTACTGCCATGGTGTCATCCACCGTCATCATATGACACCATCATGACACCACAATCATCATCACGACACCCACCATCAACATTGCATGACACCATCACCACGACACCACAATCATTATCACATGACACCACCACGACACCACAATCATCACATGACGCCACCATCATCATCACATGACACCACAATCATCATCACATGACACCACCATTATCACCACCCGCCATCAGCACGTGACACCTGTCATTATCTCAGGACAATTTGCCACCATCACATGACAACCTCTACAAGGACGGACCCCCGACTGACAACCCAGGGGACTTTCCTGACTGCAGTGTGAGGAGTCGACCTCTCATCCAATCAGTGATCAGCTGGGCAGGAAGACCAGTGGGCGTCGACCTCTTTAGTAGCCACGCACTCACCCGATTGGCTTCTCTGCTTTCCTGAAGTCCTGGAGAACTCGCTCCACCTCACTGTGGACGCTGCACGACTCGCCATCCACCGCGAAGGAGGAGCTGTGAGAAGAAGAGGCGGGGTCAGGCTGTGATTGGCTGGAAGCAAGAATATAATGGATATCGCAGAATCCGAATCACACAAAGAGGACTGGTCAGAGCTGAAGAAGGAACGGACCCTTCCTGGAGAACATGATGCTCCAAGCTCCCTCCAGTGAGGCCAATGTCCAGGGACCTCCACTGAGGGGGAACAATCAGCCAATCCGACCTCCGACCCCCCCCCCCCCCCGATAAATCAGATCACTAGAGCCGAGACCTTCAGCACTGGAAGGAACCATGAGCAGCATGTCCTCCATGGAAGGCAAGTACTGCGGCAAGTTTTTGCTGCCCATTCCCTGCCTCTGTCACATGACACACATATGGGAAGTCCTATCCCAGGTGGTCTTCCGAACATTCACTGATCCAGGAAGTCAGGTGACCTTCCCTCCATACTCACAGGTTCTTTGCTGCTCCGAAACCTCCCGGGAATATGACGGCATCGTGATCCTTAGCGCTCAGCTTGGACAAGGCTGTGACGTCACCACGTGCCAGGCGGGCAGATTCCACCAATACGTTCCTGCATGGGCAGACAACAGACCAATCACCTTCCAAACCCCAGGGTGAGGACACCATCTACAGACTACAGAGGAACAGGCCCACCACCCCACCTGTTCTCCTGGCTTGGCTGTCCCTTGCTGTGATCGATGACGTGCATCTGAGGGATGTCCGGGGCAAACATCTTCACTTCGGCCCCCTGGCGGCTCAGGTGGACAAGAATACTGAGAAAAGATGAGGGGGGGGGGGGGGAGGGGGTTCTAGGGTCAATTAGAAAGTGGAAAATTGGGGATTTCAGGTCAGTCAGGAAGTGGGGAGATCACAAGCCAATGAAGGACAAGATGGTGGCCTCATCCATGATTAGGACAGGCAAAGGTCCCTCAGCCATGACAGCAGATGAACTGTAAGGGTGAGAATGAGGTTCTGGGTGTGGACACTGGTGGAGTTTGGGTAAAGGCCTCCAAAAGGAAGCAGATGGGGAAGTGAGAACCAATCTAAGACAACGATGAAGGAAGAGGAACAGATTCACCAAATCAGAGAAAGATGAAGTTCTGAGTGTGAATACTGGAGGAGTTGGGGTCAAGGCCTGCAAGGCTCAGGAGGAGTCAGGGTTAACTCCACCAGCCAGAAGATGGGGAGGTGAGGATCTGTTTTAGAACCCATTTTGGAGAAAAGATGTGCAGACACAAGCTTGTTAGAATATTGGGAGAGGAGGACCTGTCTGAGGAGATAAAGAGGGCCCTGTGTGGAGGGAGGTGGAGGGTGAGGATCAGTCTTGGGTTAGAGGAGTAGATAGAGGGCCCTTTGTATGGGAGGTGGAGGGTGAGGACCTGTCTCAGGTTGGAGGGGTAGATAGAAGGCCCTGTGTGTGGGAGGTGGAGGGTGAGGACCTGTCTCGGGTTGGAGGGGTAGATAGAAGGCCCTGTGTGTGGTAGGTGGAGGGTGAGGACCTGTCTCGGGTTGGAGGGGTAGATAGAAGGCCCTGTGTGTGGGAGGTGGAGGGTGAGGACCTGTCTCAGGTTAGAGGAGTAGATAGAAGGCCCTGTGTGTGGGAGGTGGAGGGTGAGGTCCTGTCTCAGGTTGGAGGGGTAGATAGAAGGCCCTGTGTGTGGGAGGTGGAGGGTGAGGACCTGTCTCAGGTTGAAGGGGTAGATAGAAGGCCCTGTGTGTGGGAGGTGGAGGGTGAGGACCTGTCTCGGGTTGGAGGGGTAGATAGAAGGCCCTGTGTGTGGGAGGTGGAGGGTGAGGACCTGTCTCGGGTTGGAGGGGTAGATAGAAGGCCCTGTGTGTGGGAGGTGGAGGGTGAGGACCTGTCTCAGGTTAGAGGAGTAGATAGAAGGCCCTGTGTGTGGGAGGTGGAGGGTGAGGTCCTGTCTCAGGTTGGAGGGGGTAGATAGAAGGCCCTGTGTGTGGGAGGTGGAGGGTGAGGACCTGTCTCAGGTTGAAGGGGTAGATAGAAGGCCCTGTGTGTGGGAGGTGGAGGGTGAGGACCTGTCTCGGGTTGGAGGGGTAGATAGAAGGCCCTGTGTGTGGGAGGTGGAGGGTGAGGACCTGTCTCGGGTTGGAGGGGTAGATAGAAGGCCCTGTGTGTGGGAGGTGGAGGGTGAGGACCTGTCTCGGGTTGGAGGGGTAGATAGAAGGCCCTGTGTGTGGGAGGTGGGGAGGGTGAGGTCCTGTCTCAGGTTGGAGGGGTAGATAGAAGGCCCTGTGTGTGGGAGGTGGAGGGTGAGGACCTGTCTCAGGTTGGAGTAGAGGGCCCTGTGTGTGAGAGGTGAGAAGGCGCAAAGGGCAGATAGTCGGGGAAAGCGCACCAGGCGCATTGTCGGGAAGGTGCACCGTTGGGAAAGCGCACAGGGCGCATCGTTGGGAAGGTGCACCATTTGGAAGGCGCACAGGGCGCATCGTCGGGAAGGTGCATCATTGAAAAGGCGCACAGGGCGCACCGTCGGGAAGGCGCGCACCGTCGGGAAGGCGCACAGGGGCGCGGGAACGCACAGGGCGCATCGTCGGGAAGGCGCACAGGGCGCATCGTCGGGAAGGCGCACAGGGCGCATCGTCGGGAAGGCGCACAGGGCGCATCGTCGGGAAGACGCACAGGGCGCATCGTCGGGAAGGCGCGCATCGCTGGGAGGGGTGCACAGGGCGCATCGTCGGGAAGGCGCACAGGGTGCATCGTCGGGAAGGCGCATCGCTGGGATGGTGCACAGGGCGCATCGTCGGGAAGGCGCACAGGGTGCAGCGTCGGGAAGGCGCATCGCTGGGATGGCGCACAGGGCGCACTGTCGGGAAGGCGCACAGGGTGCAGCGTCGGGCAGGCGCATCGCTGGAATGGCGCACAGGGCGCACCGTTGGGAAGGCGCCCAGGGCGCATCGTCGGGAAGGCGCACAGGGGCAGCGTCAGGGGCATCGTCGGGAAGGCGCATCGCTGGGATGGCGCACAGGGCGCACTGTCGGGAAGGCGCACAGGGTGCAGCGTCGGGAAGGCGCATCGCTGGGATGGCGCACAGGGCGCACCGTTGGGAAGGCGCCCAGGGCGCATCGTCGGGAAGGCGCACATGCAGCGTCGGGAAGGCGCCCAGGGCGCACCATCGGGAAGGCGCATCGTCGGGAAGGCGCACAGGGCAAATAGCTGAACTTACGCTGAGGCCTCGTGGATTTCCGTCCCATCATAAACTCCACAGCCGGACAGAACCTGCAGACAGACAGACATGATGTCAGTAGGGTAATCTGGACTAGGAGGACATAATACCCTGCAGAAGGTCCCTGCACCTGACTCCATATAGGCTCCACCCACTCCTGAGCCCACCCCCATGTGTTCTCTTTCAGTGTTTGTGGGTCAGGAGATGGTTGGGATACCTCTGTGCTGGGAGTCGTGACAGAACGTTGAGAACGTGTGAACAGAAGACCAGCTGGCAGCTTTCAAATCTGGGAGATAGTTCCCTGACGGCACAAAGACCAAGAAGCAACGAGACATCTAGTGAAGTGCATCTTGCCAGGAAAGGGGGAACCCAATCCTTGAGGCCCATAGGTTCGGATGATAGTCGGTGGTGGAGGATAGACTCTTGCAGCCCAAACCTCTTCCAGGCAATGGAGGTCATTTTCCTTTTGGTGAACTGGAGCCAGACAGAGGGACAGAAGGACAATGTCCTAGTTGAGGCGTGAGGCAGAAGCTACCTCAAGCAAGAAGGAAATTCTAGGCCTCAACAATCCCCCGGCCCTATGCAGAACCAGAAAAGGTTCCTTGGAGGACAAGGCCACTAGACACTCGTCTCACAGAGGTGATGACTACAAGTAATGCCACCTTGTGGGCAAGAGTAGAGAGAAGAATATCTCTGATGAGTTCAAACCGTGGTTTATGAAGTGTGGAGAGAACCAGATTCCGGTGTCATGGAGTCACGAGGGAACAGACAGAAGAAGATACATTGCAGACCTGCTGTACAAGGGTCTTCACTAAGGAGGGAGAGACCAACAGTCTCCGAGACAAAAGAGACCAAAAAAAAAACAACCCAGGATAGTGCCGAGAGCCAGCCCCAGCTGTAGGATGGAGAGGATTCATCCTATAGGGAAGGTCCTAGAGTGGAATCCCTGACGCTCCCACCAAGTATGTCTTCCATGTTGGATTGTGGACCTTGCTGGAAGAAGACTGCTTTGCCATGAACGTTGTATGAAAGGATTCGTCTCACAGAGGAAACTCCTAGAGGTAGAGGAACCGTGATTCACCATGTGAAGTACACCTTCCATGTCTGATGATAGACCTTGCTGGAAGTAGACTTCCTAGCTTTGGACATTGTAGGAGAAGATTTGTCCCATGGTGAAGCTGCTTGGGTGGAAACCCCAAGACTGATGTGAAGTATGTCCTCCATGTCTGATACTAAGACCTGGTGGGAAGTTTCCATCCAAGGTTTTAGAAATTGTCCGAAAGGATTGGTCCCATGAAGAAGCTTCAGGGTTGGAACCCCTTAGACCCAGCATCTGAAGTTTGTCCTCCATATCTGATATTAGACCTTGCAGGAAGTAGACCTCCTAGCCTAGTGCACTGTGGGAGAGGAGAGATCATATGGAGAAGGTCTAGGGGTGGAACCTCCAAGACTCACCATGTGAAGCATGCCCTCCATATCTGAAGACAGACCTTGTGGGGAAAGGACGTTCTAGCCTTGAGCACTGTAGGAGAAGATTGGTCCCACATGAAGCTCCTGGGTTGGAATCCCTGAGGCTGACAATATGAAGTGTGCCCTCCATGTCCGATGATAGACCTTGCTGGAAGCAGACTTACCAGCCTTGAGCACTGTAGAAGATAAATCCCATGGAGAAGGTCCAGGGGTGGAACCACCTGAGACTCACATGACTCTGTCCTCCAATAGACCTTGTAAGAAGTAGACTTCCTAGCCTTGTGCCCCGTAGGAGAAGATAAATCCCATGGAGAAGGTCCAGGGGTGGAAACCCCCTGAGACTCACCACGTGACTATGTCCTTGTGACGGGAGTGTCTTTGGGTGGGGGGCCCATGAAACACAGCTCACTTTGGGTGGGGGGCCCATGCAACACAGCTCACTTTGGGAGGGGGGGCCCATGCAACACAGCTCACTTTGGGTGGGGGGCCCATGGAACATGGCTCACTTTGGAGAGGTGGGGAGACCCGTCTCAGCTCCCCATATCCCCCCTACGTGTGAGTCACCCTGTGCCTGTTAGGGGGGGGGGGTGATCTGTCCTGATATTGTGTAGACATGTATAGGTGGGGTGGGGGATGGTCCCATTGTTCTATTGTGTCTTGGTTTGGTGGGGGGTGTTTCCGGCAGCCCTTCCCCCTGATGGGACGACCTGCTGATGTGTTTCCTGTTCCTGGTTGTATTGCCCCCGCCCCCCTGTGTATATATCTTGTGTTTGTGTTACAATAAAGCCGTCCACTTCCTGTCTGAAGAAGCCTGGTGTGTCTGGTCCTGTATGGTCAGCGGTGGGGTCCGGGGATCTGTGTTCGGACCGGGAAAGGGAGTCTAACATTAATACCCTCATGCGGTCGGGTCCGTTACAGTCCTCCAATAGACCTTGCAGGTAGACTTCCCAGCCTTGTGCACCGCAGGAGGAGATAAATCCCATGGAGAAGGTCCAGAGGTGGAACCCCGAGACTCACCACATGACTACAGTGATGGAAATGTGTATTTGCCCCCCCCCCCTGATTGCTGAATGTTTCCCCCCCTCACACAGAACGATCGGTCTAACAATGGAATGTTCCCCCTCACACAGAAATGATCGGTCTAACAATGGAATGTTCGCCCCTCACACAGAAATGATCGGTCTAACAATGGAATGTTCGCCCCTCACACAGAAACGATCGATCGGTTCTGACAATGGAATGTTCGCCCCTCACACAGAAACGATCGGTCTGACAATGGAATGTTCGCCCCTCTCACACAGAAAATGATCGGTCTGACAATGGAATGGAATGTTCGCCCCTCACACAGAAACGATCGGTCTAACAATGGAATGTTCGCCCCTCACACAGAAACGATCGGTCTAACAATGGAATGTTCGCCCCCACACACATCGGAAACAGAAATGATCGGTCTGACAATGGAATGTTCGCCCCTCACACAGAAACGATCGGTCTGACAATGGAATGTTCGCCCCTCACACAGAAATGATCGGTCTGACAATGGAATGTTCGCCCCTCACACAGAAACGATCGGTCTGTAACAATGGAATGTTCGCCCCTCACACAGAAACGATCGGAATGATCTAGAAACAATGCAATGTTCTCCCCTCACACAGAAACGATTGGTCTAACAATGGAATGTTCGCCCCTCACACAGAAACGATCGGTCTAACAATGGAATGTTCGCCCCTCACACAGAAACGATTGTCTAACAATGGAATGTTCCCCCCCTCACACAGAAAACGATCGGTCTAACAATGGAATGTTCGCCCCTCACACAGAAATGATCGGTCTGACAATGGAATGTTCGCCCCTCACACAGAAATGAGTCTAACAATACGAATGTTCCCCTCACACGAAAATCGGTCTAACAATGGAATGTTCGCCCCCCCCTCACACAGAAAACAGAAACGATCGGTCTAACAATGGAATGTTCGCCCCTCACACAGAAACGATCGGTCTAACAATGGAATGTTTCGCCCCCTCACACCCTCACACAGAAATGATCGGTCTAACAATGGAATGTTCGCCCCTCACACACACAGAAACGATCGGTCTAACAATGGAATGTTCGGTGTAACACTGAGAGAGAGACAGAATACAACAACAAATTCAGCAGAAATGCGTCTAACAAATGATGACGGATCTGCATGTTCATGAGGGAAAGAAGGATTTGATCCCCTATCATTCAGCAGGATTTCTGGCTCCCAGGTGTCTCTCATACAGGTAACAAGCTGAGATTAGAAGCAGTCTCTTAAAGGGAGTGCTGCTAATCTCATTGTGTTACCTGTATAAAAGACACCTGTCCACAGGAGCCATCAAACCATCAGATTCCAAACTCTCCACCATGGCAAAGACCAAAGAGCTGTGTCCAAGGATGTCAGGGACAAGATGGTAGACCTACACAAGGCTGGACTGGGCTACCAAACTATGGCCAAGCAGCTTGGTGAGAAGGTGACAACAGTTGGTGCAATCATTCACAAATGGAAGAAACACAAAACAAGTGTCAGTCTCCCTAGGTCTGGTGCACCATGCAAGATCTCACCTCGTGGGGTGTCAATGATCATGAGAACAGTGAGGAATCATCCCAGAACTACACGTGAGGATCTTGTCAATGATCTCCAGGCAGCTGGGACCACAGTCACCAAGAAAACAATTGGTAACACACTACGCCGACAAGGACTGAAATCCTGCAGTGCCCCCGCACGGTCCCTCTGCTCAAAAAAGCCCATGTCCAGCCCGTCTGAAGTCTGCCACTGAACATCTGAATGATGCCGAGGAGGACTGGTGGGAAGTGTTGTGGTCAGAGGAGACCAAAATCCAGCTCTTTGGCATCAACTCAACTCACCGTGTTTGGAGGAGGAGGAATGCTGCCTATGACCCCAAGAACACCATCCCAACTGTGAAACATGGTGGTGGAAACATTCTGCTTTGGGGGGGGGTTTCTGCTAAGGGGGCAGGACAACTGCACCGCATCAAAGGGACCATGGACAGTCCATATTTCATGGGGGAGGGGCTCTTCAGTCCATATTTCAGAATGGGGGGAGGGGCTCTGACAGTCCATATTTCAGAATGTTCTATGGGGGAGGAGCTCAGACAGTCCATATTTCAGAATGTTCTATGGGGGAGGAGCTCAGACAGTCCATATTTCAGGGATGTTCTATGGGGGGGGGGGGGGGGGGGGGGGGAGGAGCTCACAGTCCATATTTCAGGATGTTCTATAAGGGGGAGGGGCTCAGACAGTCCACATTTCAGAATGTTCTATGGGGGGGGAGGAGCTCAGGCAGTCCATGTTTCAGGATGTTCTATGGGGGAGGAGCTCAGACAGTCCATGTTTCAGGATGTTCTATGGGGGGAGGGGCTCAGACAGTCCATATTTCAGGATGTTCTATGGGGAGGAGCTCAGACAGTCCACATTTCAGGATGTTCTATGGGGGGAGGAGCTCACAGACAGTGTCCCCACATTTCAGGATTTGTTCTATGGGGGGAGGAGCACAGACAGTCCACATTTCAGGATGTTCTATGGGGGGAGGAGCACAGACAGTCCACATTTCAGGATGTTCTATGGGGGGGGGGGGGCTCAGTCAGTCCATATTTCAGGATGTTCTATGGGGGGGGAGGAGCTCAGACAGTCCATATTTCAGGATGTTCTATGGGGGGAGGAGCTCAGACAGTCCACATTTCAGGATGTTCTATGGGGGGAGGGGCTCAGAGTCCATATTTCAGGATGTTCTATGGGGGGAGGAGCTCAGACAGTCCATATTTCAGGATGTCCTATGGGGGGAGGAGCTCAGACAGTCCATATTTCAGGATGTTCTATGGGGGGAGGGGCTCAGAGTCCATATTTCAGGATGTTCTATGGGGGGAGGAGCTCAGACAGTCCATATTTCAGGATGTTCTATGGGGGGAGGAGCTCAGACAGTCCATATTTCAGGATGTTCTATGGGGGAGGAGCTCAGACAGTCCATATTTTAGGATGTTCTATGGGGGAGGGGCTCAGACAGTCCATATTTCAGGATGTTCTATGGGGGGAGGGGCTCAGAGTCCATATTTCAGGATGTTCTATGGGGGAGGAGGGGCTCAGACAGTCCACATTTCAGGATGTCCTATGAGGGGAGGAGGAGCTCAGACAGTCCATATTTCAGGATGTTCTATGGGGGGAGGAGCTCAGACAGTCCATATTTCAGGATGTTCTATGGGGGGAGGGGCTCAGACAGTCCACATTTCAGGATGTTCTATGGGGGAGGAGCTCAGACAGTCCATATTTCAGGATGTTCTATGGGGGGAGGAGCTCAGACAGTCCATATTTCAGGATGTTCTATGGGGGAGGAGCTCAGACAGTCCATATTTCAGGATGTTCTATGGGGGGAGGGGCTCAGACAGTCCATATTTCAGGATGTGTCCTATGGGGAGGAGCTCAGACAGTCCACATTTCAGGATGTCCTATGGGGGGAGGAGCTCAGACAGTCCACATTTCAGGATGTCCTATGGGGGGAGGAGCTCAGACAGTCCACATTTCAGGATGTCCTATGGGGGGAGGAGCTCAGACAGTCCACATTTCAGGATGTTCTATGGGGGGAGGAGCTCAGACAGTCCATATTTCAGGATGTTCTATGAGGGAGGAGCTCAGACAGTCCACATTTCAGGATGTTCTATGGGGGGAGGGGGCTCAGACAGTCCACATTTCAGGATGTCCTATGGGGGGAGGAGCTCAGACAGTCCACATTTCAGGATGTCCTATGGGGGGAGGAGCTCAGACAGTCCACATTTCAGGATGTACACAGAGGGAAATACAGACCACAGCCACCCTGGCGGAGGGGTTTCCCGGGCTGGTATGGAGGGGTCGGGGGGCCCCCAGAAGGGGGAGGAGCCTCCTGGAGCACCGAACGCCGAGAGCCGCCATCACCGACAATTCACCTTCACCGACTGCCGCCAGAGGGCGCTCCTGTCTATAAAGTCTGGACCCCGCCCCCTCTGTAGTGCACCACGCCCATATCCAAAAGTCGCTACAACCCACTTCGTCCGGGCCCCGCCCCCACACCACATTACACCCCACCCACCGCCTCATTTCACTCCAGTCCGCGGCACCTGACCCCGCCCCCCCAATCACATTCCGCCCGCTGCCTCATCGCAGTGTGAACCACGCCCTCTCCTGAGTGTGCGCTAGAGGTCACTGTCCTTCATAGAGTTCGGGCCCGCCCCCTCCGCCATCTTGCCGTGGACCAAACTCTTTTCACTTATACGGGGCTACGACAGTATGGCGGAACCTCAACTCTGTACAGGACCTGACAGCGGACACCATCCTCAGTAGCATCTCCTCCTCCTTCCCCCAGCAGGGGGCGGGGCTGCCGGAGACTCAAATACACGTGCCCCGCTATAGCCACAATCGCTCCGCCTTCCTAGCTCTAACCACGCCCACCTCCCTTCCCGCCAATGTTCTCTCAATACAAGATGGCGGGAGGGGAGTTCCAGAGGAGTCACATGGAAGGAGGGGGAGGGTCAGAATCCCTGTCAGTGTCCCCAATGGGGCGATCCCTTCACTTCCTTCACTTCCTGATCCCGAGCCGCGCAATGAGAGGAAATTCCTCCCCAGAGAGGGAAGTGGGGGGGGGTCACCAGATCCAGACTCCGCCCACGGGAGATTCCTACCTCCTCATCCGTCCATCCTCATTACAAGGCTTCCATCCATCTGCCACCACCAAGTGCTGCGCGGCAGGTCAGTGATTCCTCCAGAGGGACCTCCTCACCTAGGACTGGCCGTGTCCCAACATGGACTCCTCAGACTTTCCAAAATGAGTCATTTGGGGGGATTTGTACCGGTCAGGGCAGTGTGGGGGCCAATCAGTGCTATCCATTCCTTCATCCTCCAGGAACTGCCGGAATACTCCCCCCACATGAGGCCGGGCATTGTCTGCACCGGGAGGAAACCCGGGACCCCACCGCGCCGGGAGGAACCGGGACCCACCGCGCCGGGAGGAACCCGGGACTCCCCACCGCGCCGGGAGGAACCCGGACCCACCGCGCCGGGAGGAACCCGGGACCCCACCGCGCCGGGAGGGAAACCCGGGACCCCACCGTATAGCGCCGGGAGGAACCCGGTGACCCCCCCTGCACCAGCGTAGGGTCTGACAATGGGTCCAAAGGATTTCCATCCCAATACCTAATGGCAGTCAGTCGTCCCATTGTCTCAGCCTGTAGAGGTCTGTGTGTCCCTCCATGGAGATGCCCCCCCAGACCATCACTGACCCACCACCACAACAGTCATTGAGCTGAACCATGTTACAAGGCAGCAGAAACGTATCTCCACGGCTTCTCCAGACCCTCTCATGTCTGTCACATGTGCTCAGGGGGAACCTGCTCTCATCTGAGAAGCACGGGTGCCAGTGGTGGACCTGCCAATTTCTGTTGGTGTTCAATGGCAAATGCCAATCCAGCTCTATGGTGCCGGGCAGTGATATCACAGGGCCCACTATAGAGGATGTCGGGCCCTCAGGCCACCCCCATGAAGTCTGTTCTGATTGATCAGAGACATTCTCACCAGTGGCCTGCTGGAGGTCATTCTGTAGGGCTCATCCTGGTCCTCCTCCACAAAGGAGAGCAGATACCGGTCCTGCTGATGGGTTTTAAGGACCTTTCTACGGCCCTGTCCAGCCCTCCTAGAGGAACTGCGTGCTGTATCCCGGAACCTGCCCCTAAGCCCGCTCCCCCGCTCCGTCACCCGGAACCATCCCCCGCGCCTCTCCTCCTCTCCCTGGAACCTCCCCCTCGTCTCTCTGGTCTCCCGGAACCTCCTCCGCGCTCTCGTCTCCCAGAACCACCTCGCCTCCGCGCTCTCCTCTCCCGAACTCCCCGCTCTCTGGTCTCCCGGAACCACCTCCGCGCTCTCCTCTCCCAGAACCCACCTCCGCGCTCTCCTCTCCCGGAACCCTTCCCCCGCTCTCTGGTCTCCCGGAACCACCTCCGCAGCTCTCCTCTCCCGGAACCACCTCCGCGCTCTCTCCCTCTCCCGGAACCTCCCCCCCGCTCTCTGGTCTCCCGGAACCTACCTCCGCGACTCTCCTCTTCCCGGAACCACCTCCGCGCTCTGTCTCCCGGAACTTCCTCCGCGCTCTCGTCTCCCGGACTCTAAACCTACCCCCGCGCGCTCTTGGTCTCCCGGAACCTCCCCCGCGCTCTCCTCTCCCGGAAACCACCTCTCCGCGCTCAATCGTCTCCCTCCCGGAACACATCTTACCTTTGCGCTTCATCCTCTCCCGGAACCTCCTCCGCGCTCGTCGTCTCCCGGAACCTCCTCCGCGCTCTGTCGTCTCCCGGAACCTCCTCCGCGCTCTCGTCTCCCGGAAAGCTCCTCCGCGATTCTCGTCTCCCGAAAGCTCCTCCGCGATCTCGTCTCCCGGAAGCTCCTCCGCGCTCTCAGTCTCCCGGAAGCTCCTCCGCGCTCTCGTCTCGCCGGAACCTCCTCCGCGCTCTCGTCTCCCGGAACCTCGCCTCCCGCGCTCTCGGTCTCCCGGAACCTCCTCCGCGCTCTCGTCTCCCGGAAGCTCCTCCGTGCTCTCGTCTCCCGGAACCTCCGCCCTCCTCCGCGCTCTCGTCTCCCGGAATCTCCTCCGTGCGCTCGTCTCCTGCGATCTCCTCCGTTGCTCTCGTCTCCTGGAATCTCCTCCGTGCTCTCGTCTCCTGGGAAGCTCTCCATGTTCTCGTCCTCCCCGGAATCTCCTCCGCGCTCTCGTCTGCCCGGAAGCTCCTCCATGTTCTCGTCTCCTCGGAAGCTCCATCCTCCATGCTCTCGTCTTTCACCGGAATCTCCTCCATGTTCTCGTTCTCCTGGGAGATCTCCTCCATGCTCATTGAGACATGTGGCTGGGAGACACAGCAAACCTTCTGGCACATGGTAACATATTGATGTGCCATTCCTGGAGGAGTTGACTGCCTGTGTGGACCTCTGTAAGGGTCCAGGTATGGCCTCATGGTACCAAAGTAGTGGACACTGACCCGAGCCAAATGCAGAACCAGTGAAATAACGAGACAGTCAGGGAGAGATTGAGGAGGGAAAAATGTCAGTGACCTCCACTGTAAAATCATTTCCTGTTTTTGGGGGTTGTTGTCTCATTTGTTGCCCATCTAGTGCACCCTGTTCATTTCATGACCACCATAGCAGCTGGAAACGGATTACCTACCGCCCCCCTCTGCTACTTACCTGACCAGAGTCCTCTGCGACTCCCTGACCAGATCCATGGTCCCAGGAGTGTCATCGACTCATGTGACTCGGATTACAAAGTCGCGCGCCTCTCTCATTGGTCGGAGCCGTGTAGAACAAACAGGTCTCTTATTTACTCCACTTCTGAAAGACAAAGGCTGTGAGGAAGAGGAGGTGATCCGGTGGGTGAGGGATATATGATTGGGGGGGGATGAGTGGCGAGAGAATTGCGGAGGGAGGAAACCGTGTCACATGACACACATTACAAACAGTAAGTTCTGGCCGATCTCATGGTAGAGACTAGCAGTTGGGTTCAGGACTAGAACATCGGCCGTTCAATTGGCGGTTTGCCCGCTGTGCCCCACAATGCACTGTTGCTCTGACAGTGCATTGTGTTTGGGCCAAAGCCGCAGTCAGGTGGCAATACTGTGGCCAAGATCGTTGGCAAACTAATGACGTCACAAGCGGGGATGACATCACCGGGTGGTCCCCGCCCCTTAGGTATTTAAGAACTGTTAGCCCAGCTGTCTAGGTCAGCGGGAGCTGGCCTCGAGGGCGGAGCGGATTCTGGGGGGTTTTTTTTTGGGTCGGCAATGGTGGCGCTACGTTGTGGTTGACGTTGGGAATCTACTTCGGGGGACATTTTTTGTACACTTTGTCACCCGCTGTCAGCTAATAGGAATGGGTTGCAGGAGTGCAGAACGAACGCTCCTCCTGTGTGTTATTGCTCGTGTGGGTTGGGAGCTTGCCCGTGTTTATTGTTCCTGTGGGGGCTGCCTGTCTCTGAAAGTGTATATAAAAATCTGTCTTTGTTCTATAAAGTAGATCCAGTTCTGCACCTAAGCTGTCGGTGTGGCTAGTTCTTGGGGGTGCAGAGGTGCAATGCCCGGCTATAATACCATCTTGTCCTGTACTCAATCCCAGTCGCCCCCCCCCGAGGAAGCGGTGTCTCACTGACAGGAATCACCCACTCGGGGGTGGGACAGGCAGGGCTACTCTCAGAAACCACGGGGGCCCCGTAAGGTGCCGATGTAACAGGGGTCCCCCCCCAAATAGTTTATTATGCTACGGTTATGAATGAAGCACAGTGAGCAAAAACTCACTACCGATCACCATTGTGTTTTCGTTCAGGATAGGAAGGGGCGTCTGTAAATTGTGACGTATTTTCCTGGACCCTTCCCCCCAGTTATGATCCTATTGGTGTTCTCTGCAAGCGCTGCTGGTAGGATAGGAGAGGAGGGAAGTCGGCAGCACTGATCGGGGACGGATGTGGGGCACATGACACATGGGGGGCTGGGGCAGCATGGGGAAATGTAGTAGATGCCATCTGGGAGGGTGCTGCAGAGAGAGCCTTGTACCGGGGATCAGTTCGCAGTAATTTGTCCCCCCAGATCGAGAACTTGGAAGTGGGAATACATTACCCCTGCCGATCACTCCCTCCCTGACCCACATCTGAATTAACTCTGTGGATGCATAACCTGCTGCCTGGGCACCCCTAGCATGGCCTGGACCCCATCAGCAGGTGAACCAGTGTGGTGACCATAACCCGTTATCCATGGCCCTGGGAACAGGTGGTCCCTCAACATTTGGTAGCGGTGGTGGGATCTGTGCTCTCTCCTCCCTTCACAGCCATCCAGACTGTCCCCTGGGATTATGGGTGAAGAAGCTTGAAACCTCAGTAGGAGAGACGGCAGGAGCTCGTTGGCCCCAGTGTTTGCTGG